ATTTCTTATATTTTGTTTAGATTTTTTAGTTTCCTACCGTTATAAAGGGTTAAATTTATTATTAGTGGAATGGAAATGGCTTGGATGGAAGAGTAACAAGGCTGAATTGTTGACAACCGACATGGGATGACAAAATGGCACCGAATTTGGACAAAGTTGTGGATTTACCTTGTCGATGGTTAAACAGATATGATCTACTTGAAACCAAGTTGAAACTTGTTTAAAATGTTCTTGATACCATTATGTCTGAAATGACTTACATTTTTTGTAGGATGTCGACGAGATCGCCGATAAACAGCGGAGTAAAGTGGAGAACTTGGCCAAATACGTCCATTTGCAGGAAGTAGGCACATTTCAAATTATTATTTCGGTCAGAAAATATCAACTTTTTTTTGCACCAAACCAGTGATAATATTATTAAATAAGTACCAATTATGTTTCTATCAAAAAGATTTAGGGAAAAAGGTAATTGCAAGCCACAAATTGACGTTTAACTATGATTATTGCATGGTCATTTTCTTGTGAAATATTAGTGCTAGGCATTTCATACTTACGAATGACCACCCCCAAAGGTACCATCTCTGAACCATATAAGCACCTCAGAATAGCCAAAGCTTTTATGGTTTGGTAGATAGCAGTATGGCGAAAGCGTCGTTTTTGGGTGTGGTCAGTTTCGAACGTTTCATCCCGGATTGGGGTTCGGGCAGCGTTACCGTGTTGACCGTCATGGTAAACTTGCCCTAAAATACTTGAGATTATCTGTCCTAAATGAAATGCATACAAACTCATATACAGGTCCTAGACTATTACCAGCACTATCAGTTTGCAAAATAAGGCCAAGAGCGTCTTGAGGAAGCGATTCAAACAATACAATTACAACACAATACATTACAACGCTTGCGCGCGATAATCAAGAAAATTGCTCTAAAAGGTTTGTTTTTCAAAGCCAATCAAAATCCGTATCTAGGGTAAACAAACACTCCGGAAGTGATTTCTGCAGCGGCAGGTACAAAACGCAGGTTGCAGGTTGCAGGTTGGAATTTTGCAGGTTGACAGGAATTTTGCAGGTTGACAGGAATTCTGCAGGTTGATGATGCAAACTGAAAATTACACTACTATAAAGTATTCTAGTATAATTTTATTGTGTACTTATTGCAGTCTGACTCCTTGTCGCCGCTTTTGATATCAGCCTATCCTGCCGGCCATGTTTCTAGCCTCTGCTCATCACCCTTGTGAAAACATTCAAAATGACCAGATTGGCTTGGATCTTCAGGGGGACAAATGTTTCGATTGTTGCGAGGAGCCTACATGACGTGGTGGCAGTTCAGAAAATGCCTGAATGAGGTGTCTCTCCTCTGCACCCACTTATGAGACCACTCAAGCCCCCAATTACCGTATCTTTACTCAAGAGTTAGTTAACTTTTAACAATATTCTAGTATAAACGCCGCCACATCATGTAGGCACCTCGCAACAATCAAAACATTCGTCCAGGGGCGTAGGAAGCTTCTAAAAGTTGGGGGGGCAGGGTTCCGGACATACAAAAAATTTTTTTACGGATATATCCAATTTTCCTAAATATGAAAAAAAATTTCCTGAAATACCAAAAAAAAATTTTCAGACATCATATTTTTTCCGGAAATGAAAAAATATTCCGGAAAATAACATAAATTCAAGTTTCGAAAAGTGCGCTTTCGGCAAAAAAAGGCAATCCTTAAAACATTTTTTTTAACGTAAAAAAAGGGCACTTTGCTCCCGGAAAAAGGGCACTTGGCAAAACTTGGGGGGCCTGCCCCCCCCCCGGTTCCTACGCCCCTGCATTCGTCTCCCTGTAGGTCCAAGCCAATCTGGTCATTTTGAATGCTTTCACGGGGGTGATGGCCACTAGCCTTAGAGCAGAGGCGCCGACAAGGAGTCAGACTGCAACAAATGCACAACTAAATTATACTAGAATACTAAAAAAGTGGTGTAATTTTAAGTTTGCATTATCAACCTGCAAAATTCCAACCTGCGGAATCTCCAACCTGCAAAATTCCAACCTGCAAAATTCGCAACCTGCAAAATTCCAACCTGCAACCTGCGTTTTGTACCTGCCGATTTCTGCAGTCTTTTACCAGGAAACTGTAATGCTTTACCAAGAATTTGGCGTCTGAAGTTGGCCGAACACTTTCCGAGCATGAGAATCACCATAATAGGCATAGATTATATCGCAATTTCCGAGGACTGCTCCGAGCTATAGAATGCAAGATGGCGATTCTTTTCATATATTTGTCTTTATTATACGTTGAAAAGAAGCAAAGATTCAAGCATTTGAATCAGGCGGAACATTCAAAATGCAACAGCAAAATTGGTAATGCGTCATTTGCATAAGTTTCACCGCATTGATCATTTCAAGGTAAGAAATTTGCTTGAAATTGAGCTAGAAACAACAAAATTATACGAATATTTCGGAATATATAGTATCGATCAGGCGGAATTTTTTGGTGGTATTTTCGTATTTCTACTGCAAATACTCACGGAGTTCTTTAATATTTAATCTTCCCGTCATATACGTCGGAAATCAATATTGGCGGATCGAATTGAGTTAAGGGGGAAAAGCACAAAAATACAATTTGTTGAAATTCAATATAATTATTAAATTTTTATCACGACAATTCTTAGTGAAATAGTACAATTTTGAATTATTATTTATCATATATAATCAAATTAACATATGATTAACTTCCGGGCATTATTTCCGGTATAATCACATGACACCATTTGTGTGAATAATTTAACACACAATTGGGAAGCCATGTTTGTATGTTTATATTAACGTGTCTGAATTTGATTGAAATGTAACTCCTGGTTGTGTCTAGTTCCGGTGTCTTCTGCTGGAAGAACAGGTAGGTTCATTTTCATCAGAAAATATATAATTTAACAATACAACCCTCGAAAACGAGATCGGCATTCGGCAAATATGCCGACCTATTACTTAAAATGCCGACCTATCAACCTCCCAGGTTTGCCGACCTTAATTCAGCCAAAGTAAGAAACTTTTTTGGTGCTAATAGCTGTTAAAAAGTCAGCGATTATAGAATTCGTGTAAGGTTTAAGAATTAACGGGTATTATGATATAATTTAAGTAAGACTCTAAAAGAAAAGCCTTCGTGACATTTATACTTTTCAATGATTCGTAAATACGTGATTACTAGTGCAGGCTAGTAGTGCTCCAAAACATGGAAACAGATTTTAAAAAATGCCGAAATGTGCCGAGCTAGGTCAGATTTAGGTCGGCATTTTTTTTCCGACCTCAATTTTGACAGTTTTCGAGGGCTGATTTAAAAATTAAAAGGTCAAAATTTGTGAATTCCTCCATTTTGAATTTTTTACAGCAATAAAGAAAATAAAATTCAAAGTTTGTATCCTGAATGCTAATTGGCTAGTTGTAAATACTAGACTGATTGTCATTGGTTGTAGACAAGAGTGCGATTACAGCTCAGAAAAGGTACGATTAATGCTCAAATCGCACTCCTGTAAACCAATGAAATTGCAGTATTTGCCACTGATTACAGAAGATAAATAATTAATGAAATAATTGCACTCCTCTTAACCAATCAGATTGCAGTAATTTTGTCATGTATATAATAAATTAAATTATTGATTATAATTGTTTAACCAAGTTCTCTAATATGATGTTCTCTAATGTATGTGTCTACTAAAGTACTCTATTGTTTCACAAAGTTCTCTAATTATACTCAACTATACAGTCCAATCTCCAAATCGTTCTGGTTTCCTGATTTGTCGACCAGATTTCGTTCTTAGGTTATTTTGTTCATCGAATTCTTCTTCATCACTTTCGTCTTCCTCATCTCTATTCTTCTTCTTTGACTGGATGGCACTACAGCTTTATTAAAAATTTTATTGTGCGATTTATCTCTCTTGAAGATTCTTCCATTTCCGAACTGCACAGTAACAGAATGTTCAGTTGTTTCAATTACGATTCCAACTTCAGGTCTGAGTCGATCGGTTCTTTTATCTTTCATCAACACTCGATCACCCAGTCTGATATGGTGATTTCTTGACATTCTTTTTTTCTATCATAATACTTCTTCGCTTTCTTTTTATATTGTTCATCACGATTTCTTATAACTTCATCTTTTACTCTTCTTTTCATTGTCAGGAAAATATTCAAGTTCAATGAGGTGTGGCTCAGTAGGCTTCCAACATTCCATCTATCTTCTCCTTGTAATCAGTGCTTTCTTTGCTATCCGAATAGCTTTGTTCAGATTTTGCATGAATCGTTCACATTCACCGTTGGCTCATGGATGTCTCGGTGTGATTCTGTGGTGGTAAAACCCCTTCTTCTCTGCGTATTTGTGAAATTGGTGACCAGTAAATGGTGGTCCATTGTCCGTTTTGACTGTATGCACTTTTCCAAAAGTGGCAAAGATTGAATCCAAAACTGGCTTAACGTTCGCGAACGATGTTGAATTACAGTATCCCACGACCGGATATCGACTGAATAGGTCATACGCAGTAGTGTGGTATAGTTTATTGATAAAACAAGGAGGGGGTGGAAACCAAGAAGAAATTAATTGGAAATAGTATTATGCAATAAGGTAAAAATGGGTGTGATTTTAATTGTATCAAATTTCAAAGTACGTGCCTCATTGAAATATGGCAGCTATTGCTTTCTATTGTAAATTTAGTTTACATAACTAGACATGCACATCCGATTTTAAAAAGCAATCTGTTCTGGCTTTTAAACTAGCCCCTTTGTTTAAATTTTGAACTAATTCTTATCTCGGGTTTACGGGGTACTTTCCCATGGCGTTGTTTGTATTTATCCTGTTGCACAATAAGCTAATTTGGCGATCACGCTCAGGTCTCGGTGCCACAAATCCGAAACGCATGCGCAAATTGAAAATGCACAAGCACATATAAAATCATGAAGGAATTTCCATTCTTTTGGTACCAAAATTGCTGTCATTTGAAAAATTCAAAGTTCGGGTTTTTGGATATGCTTCTTCTGTACATATTTGCGATACTGATTTGTATTTGCAACATAGATGCCGTTGGAGAAGAGTCGGGGAACACAGAAAACTCTTCAATGAGCAATATACCTTCGTTTACATGCGATATAAACAAGTAAGCATATATATCACTATCAGAAAATGATCGATTTATATATTTATTTATTATTCGATTTATAAACCTATATTGTACATAATTGCTCGTCTAAACCTCTGTTTATGTTTTGTCTTTTTTCTATGCTCCTTTATTGCTTGCATTGTAAAAAGCCTGTTTCTGTATGAATTATGGAAGAAAAAAGACAAGGAAGACAGTGCCAGTGCGACTGTTCTATCCACTGTAATTAAATTGGCCTTCAAGCACTCTGGAATCACTCATGTTCAAATCAATGACAGGATTCTACATGCTTTCCACAAGAAGCTTTACCTTCTTAAGAAAGCTTATCTAAAAGCAAACCGATTGGGTGGAAAGTGTTTGAAACGGCTGTTGGGGAAGTGGAACACTGGTGATCCCTACCGTTTTAAGATTTACTATCATGAAGTTGACAAACTTAATTTGAAGAATGAGACATTGAGGATCGAGAAATGGAAACTTAATGTGGAAACTAATGAGTATGAAGTGTTTGACCTTATTAATGATGAAGAATTATCATTTACAAAAACTGAACCACAAGAACTATCTGACAATGACATGGACAATGTAAACATGTGGTTGTATTTAAAAGACAAATTCAACATTTCCAACGAAGCGTGGGCATGAGATTGCCATGAAAGCCAATGTTCCAAAAATGTACGGGATGAAAAAAGAATAAGTCAACTTAACTCTAGATGGAATTTAAAACCAATTCCCGGTGATGCTGAAGGCGTTCAAATAGGATTTCAAGACAGCCTAAAAGAAAATGTTCAGAAGCTGAAATGAAGTGGCATTCTTTGTAAAGGTGAGACTATTAAAATTAAGTTAAGTGGTGATGGGACCAACATTGGGAAAAGGTTAACGGTTGTTAACTTTGCTTACACCATCTTAAATGAAAAAAAGGATGGGATGGGAGAAATGGGAAATTACATTTTGGCAGTTATCAAAACAACAGAATCCTATGAAAACCTGTGGGAAAGTCTTGCCGACCTAAATGATGAATTGTAAAAATGAAAGGAGATAACTGTTCATGGCATGAACTACATTATTGAATATTTCCTTGGCAGGTGCGGGGGGATTGGAAGTTCTTGGCATTGGTATGTGGTTTAGGGAAAGCTAGTAAAGATTATGCCTGTATATGGTGTAAATGCCGAAAGACAGAGCGATGGGACACAAATAAACTGTGGTCAATTACACGAACTGTTGAAAATATCTCATCATATGCAGCAAGAAAGCAATTCAACTGCCAAACAAAGCCATTATTCCATTTTATACCAATGGATCATGTGATCATCAACACTTTACATCTTTTTCTTCGAATTTCAGATGTATTAATTGACTTGCTCATAAGAGAACTGGAAAGCTCCGATACAATAGAAAAGAAAAAGTCATTTTCAGAAGGGTTTGTCCGAGACAAATATAAACACATGGCTGCATATAAAGATTTATTGAAGAGTTTAGGTATAAACTTCCATTTTCATGTAAACAAAGATACTAAAAAATTGGATTACAGGGATTTTGTCGGCCGGGCCCGGAAAAACTGAAATTGTTTCAGAACATTAATATATCTCCTCTGTTGCCGAAAGCACAAAATGCTAAAGATATTCAAGTTATATGGGATGAGTTTATTCACATCATTAATGATCTGAAATGTGATTACACATGAAAGATAAAATCAAAACAAGGCTTCAGAAATTTCTAAAAGTGTATCAGGGAAAGGACGTGACACCCTACATGCATGCTTTTTGTTACCATGTTCCTGAGTTTCTGGAATTGTATTCTAACATTGAATACTTCACGCAACAAGGGATGGAGAAATATAATGATAGATGCTCAAAGGATTATTTTAGATCCACAAACCACCATGGAACTGTTTCTTAAGAGAAGCCGCATACAGTTTTTGGAAGGTGTTGGGTGTGAAAGAATTCAGAAAAGCTACAAGTGCAGGAACTGTCTACTACATGGACATACAATTAAGACCTGCACAGCCAAGTGTAAGTTTTGTCTTGTGCCAATGTGTTGTACACAATCTGGTGAAGGAGAAGGGCAGATGGCAGGCAGAGTGTATTTTAAATTTATAGGTTCATTTGGACATGTGTTAAAATGCTGGCCGTTGCCAGCAATTATTCTGCTTATGTTGTTTTTATACATAAATTAATTTAAATATATATCTTACATCATATTTATGATAGCCTTGCTTAAGGCTGTAAAAATAGGAGTTGGGCTAGCCTAGTGAAAAATACTTCCGGCCAACATTGTCCTGCTACTATGCCCCTTGATATTAGGAAAAATTGGTTCATATGTTTTTGCCCATTTAGTATTCCTCCTTGCGACAGGAAATATAAATACTAATACAAAGTTATAGTTCTTCCTGAGGACTTTCTGAAGCCATTCTCAGCATATTGCACAAATATTTATGGGATTATATAGTCTCATCCCAACTTCTTATGCCCCCAAATTACTGTAGTCCCTAATTAATAATAAAAACAATGTCAAAGCATGCCAACTCTTATAACAGTCTAACTATTAAATTATTCAATCATAAACAATTTCAAACAAAAACGGTTCACATATTGCTACCCATTTATAGTTCTGGTATTTAACAGGAAATAGGTCGAATATTAATGATATAAAGTTTTCGTCCGTGACATCAGATTATAAATAGTGCCTGGAATTTATTTTATTAATCTTTCTCCTTGTAGTTATGTTTGTTCCCATCACCCCCAAACAAATTGAAAATTCACAAAATAATTGTTTTCGATTTCAGATTTGATAAGTTGGCCTCCAACATATTTGAATTCAACAATTGAGCTCCTCTGTCCTAGCCAATACCTAATAGTGCCCACAATGACATAAGCAAAATCACTGTTTTGATTTAAAATCCTCTCATCCCATTTCTGGCCAAGACTAGAGTCTAGCAGTCTATTACTTCTCGGAGTGTATACCATTTCCCCCCGGTAAAAACGACCAGGGACCATATTTCCTAAGCCAGCCTCAAACACATCTTGATCTGTGTTCAGATCAATACAAATATCAGGGTCTTGACGACGCATTGACCTCAGTTTTTTCTTTATTTCCCGGAATAAATGGCCATGGAAAGCTTGTTTTCGATCTTCCAATGATTCGGGAGTAGCAATAACCAACTTTTCGCTTTGAATGAAAGGGCAATACTTCTCTTCATTGCCATATGGCCACCATTCGCCATATTGTTTACTGTACCCGACATAGTGAATTTTCACTTGCTTCACTTTGCGGTCCACCTCTACGACCTCAATATCATATAGCTTTCTGTCCCTGTTGTGTTTGTGGTATCTCTGATCTTGGATACTGTTGAAAAATGACAAGAAAATCGCTCTGGTGCCTTCACTTGCCTCCTCGGACGGTTGGCCATCTTTAATATCACCTCGCAAATCAACAATAGCGAGGCCCTGGAACTAGTAAAACAAATGTCCCTGGCAATAAGCCAAGACTTTGATATGGTGTATAGTGTGTATAGCATGTATTGTGTATATAGCTTGTATAGTGTGTATAGCGTGTATTGAGTATATAGTGTGTATAGTGTATATAGCCTGTATAGTGTGTATAATGTGTATGACGTGTATAGTGTATTATAGTATATTATACTATATTTATATTACATGACGTTTTACTATATTAGTGACTGAAACATAAATTGATAACCCTTGGATGTTTGCCTGCTGAACATACCATTGAAATTGATCGTTCATATACCCCTGTTGTCCCACCCTCCAAGGAGAGTCCTGTTAGCCCTGAAAGAGCAGACCAAAGAAGAATTACAGAGGTGGAAGATGCTGGTGTTATCGTCAAACAAACAGAACCCACAGATTGGGTCAACAGCATGGTTACAGTAATAAAACCCGAGAAAATCCGAGTGTGTATTGATCCAAGAGATCTTAATCGAGCAATAAAAAGAGAACATTATCCAATGAAAACGATTGAAGAAGTTGTAGCTGGAATGCCAGAAGCAAAAGTGTTCTCCATGTTAGGCTCCTCAGGATATTCAAATTGAATGAAGAGAGTTCCAAACTATGCACTTTCAACACACCGTTTGGGAGATAGCGCTTCACACGACTACCATTCGGAATTAAATTGGACCCAGAGGTTTTCCAACAGAAAATGTGACAGGTGTTGGAAGACATTGAAGCAATAGTAGATGACATCCTGGTGTGGGGAAAAGATATCCAGGAACATGATGCAAGGTTGAAGAAAGTCCTCGACTGAGTCCAAGAAGTCAACTTAAAGCTAAACCAGAAGAAGTGCCAAATCAAAAGAAGAAATTGCGTATGTTGGTCATCTTCTAACCAAGGTCGGTCTTAAGCCAGATCCCAAGAAAATAAGAGCTGTACAAGCCATGACCAAACCATCCAACACAAAAGAGTTAAAAACATTTCTTGGGTTTATCCAATATCTCACAAAGTTTTTACCCAATATGGCCGAAGTCAGTGCACCACTTCGAAAGTTGTTGGAAAAGAATACAGCATGGCAATGGGAAAACCAACAAGAAGATAGCTTTCAACAACTCAAGAGAATGACAACCAGTGCCCCAGTGCTAAGTTATTATGATCCCAAGAAGCCTGTTACCTTATCTGTCGATGCAAGTTCGAAAGGACTTGGAGCAGTGCTGTATGAAGAAGAAAAACCAGTTGCCTATGCCTCCAGAGCATTAATACCAACACAGAAAAAATATGCACAAATTGAGAAAGAGACTTTGGTTATTGTATTTGGTACAACCAAATTTCACCAGTCAGTTCCAGTTTGGAAAAGAAGTACTTGTCATATGAGACCACAAACAACGGGAATATATGCTCAATAAGCCTCTGCACGAAGCACCACTTCGTCTACAGAAGATGCTGTTAGCCCTGCAAAGATATGAGTTAAGAATTGTCTACAAGCCTAGAAAAGAGTTGTTCATTGCTGATGCCCTAAGCAGAAATTACCTAGAAGAAATGAAAGAAACACTGGTGCAAGAACTCGAAGTAAACAAAGTCCACCTTGCAGCCCACTTACCAATATCACCTGAAAAGTACCAAGAATTCCAGAAAGCCATTGCTGATGTTGTAATGCAAGCAGTACAAGATGCAGTTCTCGAGGGATGGCCAAAGAACAAAGCTAATGCACAAGCAGGGATCAAGCCGTATTGGACATGTAAAGGTGAAATTTCCTGTGTTGATGGCCTCCTTTTCAAGGGAAACAAATTAATTGTTCTGAATTCCCTTTGACCACAGATGCTAGACATCATACAAGAATCAAATCAAGGGATCGTGAAATGCAAACAACGTGCAAGAGACCTCCTGTACTGGCTGGGAATTACAAGCCAAATCGAGGATAAAGTGTCCAAGTGTCAAGTTTGTTGTCAATACCAGAAAGCCCAACCAAGAGAGCCCATGATAACTAGCAAGATCCCTGACTGCCCCTGGGCGAAAATCGGTGTGCATCTATTTGAACATAACAAGACACATTACCTATTAAGTGTTGACTACCTCTCCAAGTGGATTGAAAATGCCAAACTGGATAACCAAAGCAGTAAGAACACCATCACTTACCTCCAGAGTCAGTTTTCCAGATATGGTACCAGATCAGTTAGTGAGTGGTAATGGTCCCCAATTCATAAGTGCAGAATTCGCAGAGTTTTCTAAAAAATATGGGTTCACCCACATTACATCAAGTCCTCATTACCTGCAAGCAAACGGCGAGGCAGAGAGAGCCGTGCAGACTGTGAAGGGTCTTCTCACCAAAGCCAAAGATCCATACAAGGCATTGATGAACTATCAAAACACCCCACTGGAAGAAATAAACCAGTCTCAAGCACAACTAATGATGGGTCGTAGACTGAAAACCAGTCTCCCAACAGCAGCACCATTTCTGAAATCTCGAGCATCCGATGAAGTTCAGCGAATTATGAAAAAACAGAAGGAGAAACAAAAGCAATACTATGACAAGCGCACAGGAAAAGAATTACCACCACTTCAACCAGGAGAGACGGCCAAAGTTATACATGCCAAAGTTACACACAAGCACCAGTCACCAAGATCATATGTCATTGAAAGTGAACAAAGACAAAAGTATCGAAGAAACTGCCATCACCTGTGTTCCAGTAAACTATCAGAGAAAGAACAGAGGAGTGATGTTAAACATGCAAACACCAAAGAGCCGAGCGTGAGCAGTGACAAAGCAAGAGCCACAGCGAAGAATGCAGTTGGACAGTCATGGTATCATCAACTCACAACACAATCCTGTGATAACAAGGTCTGGACGTGCAAGTAAACCACCCAAGTCCTTGATAAACAATTAAAAAAAACAAAAAAACATGGTAACTACACCTTTAAAGTATTATAACTAGTGACAGTTAATAAGTTGCAAACAGTTAAAAAAAACTGAATAGCTATAAGTATAGTTGATATTTAGGTCGTTGATTAATATTAGCAAGTTTATTAATGAATGGCTATAACAGGGCCGTAGCTAGCGTGTAAAAAGTTGGGGGAGTGTAGGCCAAAAATTTCCGAATGATGAAAAAAATTTCCGAATATTTCATGGGATACAAAGCCACGAAGGTGTTTGCTATCCGGAATGAAGATGCACTTTACAAACAAAAATACACATAGTTTATGCAAAGAAGCATGCAGTGCCGTAGGAAGCTCTTTTTTATTGGGGGCTGGAAACGAAGGCCGAAGGCCCGAGGAAATTTTTAAATTTAGATTCTCCAAAATGCCATTTCCTGGCATTTGGGGGAAGTTTTGACAGAATTCTGATGGTCAGAAAACAGAGTTTTAGTATGATATTTGTGACGTTGCTCTGAGTATGCATCCACAGCGGGCAAGCTGACAAGTTTGCTTGGCCACGGTGGAAGTCTAACCCGCGAACTTTGGGATACTAATCCAATGCTCTGCCAACTGAGCTATGTGGTCAAGTCGGTTTGAGTTGTTAATAGAGTTTTAGTATGTCGAAATTTACAATTTGCTTACAATTTAGTAGAACTAAATGGGCGAAGGCATATTTAATTAACTATATATTGCAGGAAAGAGTATGTGTAATATGATTCTTTGCGGTTTGTCAGGGATAATGTAGCCGCTTGAATTAATAATAGACCTTTCCCCTTATGAGTGAATTTTTTATCTAGACAAGCCTAGACAAAAATTTCATCACAGCTTGAAAAAGCATCACAAAATTAGTAATATTCCGAAGTTTTGTGGCAAAAAATGCGGATAATATAGCCTTGCGAAGTTTGCCGTTTTTCAGTCATTGTGCATTACAAACGGGAAATTGATAATTCCTGTTTGTAATGCACAATGACTGAAAAACGGCAAACTTCGCAAGGCTATATTATCCGCATTTTACAACATTCAACGAAACTTCGGGATATAACTAATTTTGTGATGCTCTTTCAAGCTGTGGTGAAATTTTTGTCCAGGCTTGTCTAGATAAAAATTTCACTCAAAAGGGGAAAGTTCTATTGTGGAGGTGTGCAAATCTGATACGAAACCGATCCGAATCTGATCGGATTCGTTCGGATTTCGGAACCAAAATATAAATTTCGGATCAGATTGATAAAGTTGTTTCGTAGTCGAATCGGACTTCTATATCCGAAATAAAATGAATTAATTATCCATGCATTATCGCAAGAATTAATTATCCATGCATTTATCAAAGTATCATCGCGGTTGTCGCTGCATAATTCGTTTGATACTTCAATTGGACGTCACTTTGTCAGCTTCTTGACGTGTATTTCTTGCTTTTATATTTGGTTAAATATTTCAACTTGAATGAGAAATTTATTTTATTAAAGAATTTTTCGGATCGGATCGGATTGGAATTCTTTTTCAAAACTCCGATTGGATTCGGATTAGACAATTTCGGATCGGATCGGGTTTTAAACATTAGGCAATTGTCAGATTATAAACGTCCGATCCGATGCACACCTCTAGTCTATTGTCAGTATTTTAAAGGTATATTATTTAAATGATAAAGGTGTGCATGATTTTGAAAAAAGAATGATTATCAGCAAATTATTGTAAGGGCTACTGCCCCTGAGAAGTAATAAACCGAAAAACATTTACCGATTTACGATTTGTTTTACGTTATCCATGTAAATGCAGTGATTTCGTAAATCAGTTTATACCAATGGTTTATACTGACAATACCATTTTATAATATTTTCTTTGTTTAAACAACTAAAATTTTGTTATACTATTATTGCTGTAATTTCCGAATGGCCAACCCGATTTTCCGAATATGTTAATTCTACAAAAGTTGGGGGGGGGTTGTTAACCCCCCCCCCCTCGCTACGGCCCTGGGCTATAAGTATAGTTGATATTTAGGTTGTTGATTAATATTAGCAAGTTTATTATAAGAAAGGGAGATGTAATGTATGCAGATGCTGCAAAGCTTCGTGGGAGTAAATATATATGGTCTTGATTACACAACATGGCGTGTCCCATAAACATAACAAAGACGAGAGTCAAGGACTTGACAGAGAGGTGCACAAACAGTGAGCGTAAAGTATTTGTTTCAGTCAATTTTGCAATGACAACAACAGTTTTCAACTCTATACTGGCTTTCCAGATGTGAAACTATTTGATACTATGCACAAGTTTTGTAATCCTGGAGAACATGGTGAAAATATTTCTTACTGGCATTCTGTGACTACAAGTGAAGGTTCTACTTCTAGTGATTCTTCAACGAAACAGGGCAGGCCAAGAATACTTCATCCCAAGGATGAACTATTTATAACATTGTGTAGGCCGAGGCAAGGGTTCCCTGAAGAACACCTTGCACATTTGTATGGGTTGTCTCAGAGCACCATTAGCAGAATTATTGTTATTTGGGTGAATTTTCTATATCTGAAACTTAAGGATGTACCAATGTGGCCTTCTCAGGAGTTAGTGGATAAATATATGCCAGAGCAATTTAAGAAAAATTTCCCTCGATTAGAGTGAGTATTGACTGCACTGAGCCCTACTCTTGAACAGTTAACTATTTAGTTCCTACAAGAACAATGCTACCCTTAAGTGTCTGGTTGGCATAACTCCTGGTGGAGCAATGTCATTTGTTAGCTAACTATACACTGGGCATATCTCTGACCAAGAAATTGTGATGCGAAGTGCTTTCTTGGACCAACAGTTCAATGTGGGTCATGGTTGACAAGGGACTCACCATAGATGACTTATTACCACCTGAGGTAGGGTTGAATAAACCTCCATTCCTGGGAATGCAAGGCCAAATGAGTGCAGAAGATGCCGTAAAAATCCAAAGTATTGCTTCTTTAAGGGTGCATGTTGAGCGAGCCATCAACAAAATTAAGAACATTAGAATATGGGATGGTATTGTTCAACTGAACATGTTTGGTGTTGTGAATCAGATGTGGACAGTATGTGCCATGCTGTGTAATCTTCAGAAACTCAAATTAGTAGCTCAGTTGATACATCCTTCCGGAAAGTGTTCAATCTTGGCCATACAGCCTCGTTTTTGTGATTGTGATATTGGGTTTAGGACCTTCTATCCTGTTGCATGTGACATGTTTACAAAACCATTGGGTTAGAATAGATAACCTGGCTGCAGAAACAAGGCTGTATAGCCAAGACTGATTAATTTACGGAATGGTGTATTGTTTAAGTGACAGTATTGTGTATATGACCATATAGGCAAATCACTTTCTTGAAAAAGTCCTGAAATTAATTCAAGTATGTATGCATATTGTACAAAATAGAATCATTAAAACATGACTTGTCAGTTTTGATGGGTAATCACTCAGTGGCTTTTTTCCAAACTTAAATGGTTTTAATGATCAGGTAATTAACATAACTAGTATTGCTATTTGGAATAGGGTTATACGTTTTGTCACACTCTGAGGCCACCAAAATAACCTCTTCACATATTTGCCATAACACATGTATAACCGCCATTTCTTGTTGATTTTGTTGTATCAGTGCAGGCGTATATGTAAAACTGTAGGGTGTCATTCTGAAGAAAGAAAACGTGAGTGTAATTTTTAATGGGAAAAAACAAGTGTAATGGTAAAAAAACGGTGAGTGTTTACAGTTATGGCTCTTCTCGGCCATCATAATTTTCATTGTGCATTTTTTTTTCATTGTGTGTTAAACCTGAGTATCAGGCTCTATTTTACAAATAATAACCTGACACAAACCTTAATCTGATCGCCTTCCACTCACAGCAAAGTTTCTACTTAGTATCCAATAAGAATGTTGCAGGAGAAATTTAAATTTCACACAATGACAACAACAACCTAATTATAGTTATGATCACCACAAAACATACCAACAACAATAGTACAATCTAATTAGCACTAGCCAATCAAATGACAGACCAAAAAATCTTTTGTCTCATACACAATTAAATCAGATTTACAACTGAAATATGGCATAGACTTTTGTTATTAAGGTTTGTACTTTGTATCAGGCCTACTTATTTATTTATAGGCCTGATTGTACCCTGCTAGCAGAGTATCCTTTTCACGGCGGAGAGAAAGGATACTCTGCCGAAATTGTGCACTATTCCATTTGAGCATGCGCAACCGTGGAGCATGCGCAGCCGTTGCTCTTCAACATATCTCTCCCGCGTTTCGTTAATATTTACGCAGGACGTTTACGCTGAACTCTAACAATGAATAAAGAAAACTTTTCAAAATGTACTCCTATCAAAAAAGGAAAGAGACACCGAATGGCTGATAAAGATTATGTATGTTTATGTTGTGGGACTATACTAGTTGGTATACGGTGCACATATAATTTAACAACGTGCGACGGGGTTCTAGAGAAACTGGAAAAGTCGTTGGAATGTCAGATAAACATTGACGAAAATTCGTCTTGGTTGTGCAAGTCCTGTTTTCGCAAAATTGACTCCCTAACTAAGCGATCTTTAGTTCTTGAAGCAGACATAAAAGAATTGCGAACTAAATGCAACTTGTATGCTTTGCCTTTGTCTTCGCAAACGCCGGAATGTACATCACCAAAAGTGCAAGTTTATACACAAGTCATCAAAAGATGTGCTAAGTCAAGTCCTCATCGTGCGAAAAAGCGAGCTAGAGGACCGTTGTTCGAATCTCCAGCTGAAAATGATTTTAATTCTAATTTCACGCCACTATATGTAAATGAAGATGTAAATGACCGTTCGTGCGACCAAATAGTGTCGACTGAAAATGAAGTAAATACACGTTCTGTCGAGGTAAGATATTGTTTTTGTCTCGGTATAATCCTTTAAAGCTTTGCATATAAAAGTGGAAATAAACTGATTGTTATTTATATGTGTAATTGATACATGCAGTGATGCAGAAGAATATACAGTCACTGTATTAAATGGATGATTCCAGCTATTGACTAATTTTTTGTCTGGACAAGAAAGACGAAATCTATCATTATAGCTCAAAAGAGCATCCTAAAATTAGTAAAATTGCAAAGTTTGGTTGTGAACTGTTGTAAAATACGAAAAATATAGCTCTGTGTCTGTGAAATTAGCATCAAATTGGTGCATTTTTCTGTGAGTAATACTAAAATACTCAACATTTGCTAATTTCACATGGTTATATAACTTATATGTTTTGTATTCTACATTTTGCAACCAAATTTGGCAATTTTACTAATTTAAAGATGTTCTTTCAAGCTATAAATATAAGTGATAGATTTTATCCTTCTTGTATGGATCAAAACGTAGTCTATACGACTATACCTGGAATCATCATTGTAAACACTGCATGTTTATTTTTAAATTGCTAAATTTAAACTATAATTATAAATTGAAAATTGCTATTCAAAACAATTTAGCTGTGCATGTTTATAATTGCCAAGTGATACTATTACGCTTTTTTAATAGTCAAATAAAGTGCACAACTTCGACCGAAAACTTAAATTAGATGGTTTCGATGTCTTGGCCTTGGGCCGTGGTTAATAATATAATGAAGACAAAAACTAAGATACAAAACACATAAGCCTTGGCTCGCTAAGATAATGCGTAATGAATAATGTCAATTTCAATCAACATTTTTGGTGTTCATTAACGAATACCTTCTGACGAATACCTATCCGAATCGCCATGCATTTGTTGTTAAATTCTTCAATTAAATTGTATTATATTTATATATTATAGGTCAGCATTAAATATCCTTCAGGCAATAGAACAATCAATTTGGATGATGATAACATTGCATCTGTTGTCATAAATTTGGCCCTTGGAATTTATCCAACAGCATTTAAACTTGCTCTACAAAATCAAGAAAGGAGAAAGATTGTAGAAGACCTGTTCTTGAAAATCATGGACAATGAGTGTCATGAAATGTGTAAGAAAAGTTCTCATAGTGTCCTTAAAGATACTGGAGTTGATGGGCTTACAAGTTTTCAGCTAAATAAATTCGAAGAAGAGTTTAAGTGCAAGGCACCATTGACTACAAAGACACTTACATCAGTCTGTCACTCAAAGAGGTCTAGAAAAGCAACCTGCAATTCCAATGTTATATCAACTGTTGGGGCAATTATCCTCTACTCAAGATGCCCTCAGATGTCTGCTTTGGCTTATAGACTTGGGTTTGTAATGCGACATGCTGGTGCAGGAACAATGGTATGTATTCAAACATGTTAGTAGAGTTTTAAAATTATTAACCCTCTCATTAAGGAATTGTCTCAATATTCTCCTTTCGCCAGATCATCTGGCATTAAAGTAAAAATATTATGTTTTTGCACAATATCTGCATGCATGAATTAAAAGGTAATATACTGTAGTTGGAATATATACTATACTGTAGCTCTAATGCCCAGCTGTAGTACAGTAGCTTACTTTGCTATTCTACCCCAACGTGTCAACTGAAGACCTTGCACCTTAATTAATTAATCGACCAATTTCTCTTGTTAACCCTATATGGTGCAGTACACCCTTGTGCAAACTACTTTATTCTGACTATAACAACAGACAAGTTCACTTACTGTATCAAAAGGATACCCATGTGCCTTAATGGATAATTACCCCATTGATTGGCAGCACTCTCCCTCTGACGAGTAAAATTGTCTGGCATTAGGCAGAGTGAAATAATCTGGCATTACTTTAGACAGAGTAAAATAATAATGTAGGGTGCATTGCCACTTAAAGGGTTACTAACAGTACTCAGGCTGTTTCATGATGAAGGCAAATGGATCGTGGCAGTTAATGGATCAGTTGCTCCCATCGCATAATTGCCAATAATAAAATATGAGTGCTGTCTCAAGCCAGAGTGGGTTGAACACCAAAATAAGTTATTTCTGGTTATTGTAGGGACTAGAAGCACTCCACAAACATGGTCTAACAGTATGTCAGAAGACGCTGTCATTGAAAACAAAAGAGCTTGGTAAAAGATGTGACAATGCAATTTGTCTGTGGAAAGGAGAGTCTGTAATGTGGTTACAGAAAGAAAAATGTTTAAATCTACTGGAGAGTAGGTTGAAAGAACTAAGTTACCATCCCAACATGCCAAATGTATCAGACATACAACAGTATCTTGGCAAGGAAGACCATGAAAGATTGGTAGCAACTGTGAATCCATCTATGAGTAGTTCAACTGAAAGCATCAATGATGAATTTCAAACCCTTGATGTTGGAAAACTGAACTTGTGTTATAGTAACACTAGCTCAACCAAACTATTACACAATATCTGTTCAGAACTAAAATGCAAAGACATTGATGACACTTGTGTTTCTGAATGTTTCAAAGACATAACAAAACAGTCACCTGACAGTCCTGATCTGCTTGAAGCAGTGCGTGCATGCAGTAAGGAATTGAATTCCCATTTGTCGTATCAGATTGTTGGAGATAATGTTGACTTGGAAGTGAAAGTTCGCCACATGTCTGATGATAACAAGAATAAATCTTTGCACTATTTCAATTTGGTTGCCTTTAAAGATCAAGTGAGTGGAGATGTACTTCCTGATATACATGAAAAGACCCTAGAAAGTATTCCAATATCTTCATTTCTTCCATCGCATAAAGATCTGGACAGCCTTAAGAGGGATTTTGTAGTCCTATGGTCTCGTGTTGTTGTTAAACACATTGAGTATTTTTATTGTTTCAAGAAATGTGTGATCTACCACATCCCACACCAGTACAGTGATGTGATGGTTAATCCTGTAAAAGAGGTAATTGATAACATAGAGTGTCTTGAAAAAATGCAATAGCTGTGTATGTTTATACAGCTATATGTTAGTGGGCATAGAGAATGAAATGTAAGAGATGAATTTTGACCCTTATATAAGATTATTGGTATACCAGACCAATTAAATTGTTATATTCATTTGGCTCTAAAATACATTTAGTACTGCATGGGTCAATGGACATTATGTACTGTGTCGATCAGTTGTATTACATATTCATAGTGTAATTATACCCTTCCTTTAAGCAGCCATAACATTGTTTACTTTACTTGTACCATTAGCTGCACTGATGAGGCGTATAACACCGAAACACACACACACACATATATATATATTTCATATAATTTCCAGACCGCGCAAGAAGGAAATTTTGTCCGCTTCCGCTGGGTTTCAAACCTGCATGACAAATTATATCAAAGCTCTAACAACTGAGCTACATGTTGAGGATGGATCAAAGGATAGAAATTCTGAACAGTTTTTCCCCTGAAAAAGACATGTCTCTAATGTACTATGTTAAAATGTATAAATCAATTATTGTAGATTCCACTGGGAGTTCTTCCAAAAAATGAAAGTAAGAATGAGGATATGGTTGATATCCTGGAAACAATACAGGAGAAATATGTCCCTTTTATAACAGTACAAAATGAGAATGGGGAAAATGTGACATCAGCAGATACTATCTTCTTTGGTGGAGATCAATTGACAGAGGAGCGTGCACGGAATATACAAAGAGCCAGAGCAGATGGTCAAAATCAGAAAGAGAGGCTTGAAGTAGTTTACCCGAAGAATGAGGACTGGCATGCCATTAGAACTGCTTATAAGGTCTGAATTTTTTATTTTATTAACAAATCATGTATTTATATTATATTATATTATAGTCTTATTAACTTCCCATTGAAGTGAAGTGCTTGAAATGTCAAAGTTTTACTTGTATTTTTCAGGCAGTTGAATCCATATCCATCTGCATTTCCCTATTATTAATTAAATTACTTATACAGTAATAAACTTCAAAAACGTATTAATAATTCATAAGGAAGACACAAAGGAAATCAATACTGTGGCAATGTTTTTATATATTTAACCCTTTAATTAAGTGTCAATGCCCCCTGGTGCAACCTACTTTAGTATTTTACTCTGTCTAATGCCAGATGATTTTACTCGTCAAGTGGATAGTGCTGCCACTCAGTGGGTTATACAAATAACACCAATGAACTAAATGTTTGTTTTGAGGCTATTTAAAACACTCACAAACTTGTTTTAATTATCACCTCTAAAACACTTTGGTTTTCTTGGTGAAATTAGACCCTTAATTTCTAAATACAGTATATATTTATATATAGAACTTTTTGCTTCAATTTTCTCAGTTAATTAAAAGAACTACATCGTATCATGAAAATTGTTTGTATGTTCATTGTTGGTAATTTAGATGCATTCATTATTGTGCATTAATTAATGACCCATGTGGATATGATCAAACGTGCTTTACATCAAGTCTTATATACGCTAATACATAATTACATGCTTTTAAAGCCTAGATAATTTTATATTTACGACAATTGTGATATTACTTTCTTAAAGGTGCCCTACAGTCCGTATGTCAACAAAGCCTTTGTTTACATTTTTGTGTCCAAAATATTGAGCTTTATTCGACAACTATTTATATTTTCAAGCTTCTAGAGTATAATAAATGATCAAGAAACAATAATCAGGCTTTTCAAGAACCCAAAACATAGTTAAACTGTTTGTATTATAAAAAGTGGGCTCCGTTGTGCACATGCGCAGATCGGACTGTAGATCACCTTTAACTGTGTTTATGCATGCTACCGGCACCCTGTCAACTTTCCCTGTGGGAGGAAACTGGAACACCCGGAGAAAACCCACGACTTTTGGCATAGCATGGACTGACTGTTTTAACTGTATGAGTTGGTAGCGAGAATCAAACCCACGTTCTCAGAGGTGATAGGCACTAGCCCGCGTGCAGGCCCAAGGGAAGAATATATGATGACTGCGCCACCAAAGTCAACAGTACATATATTAAGTAACATAACTATACAAAACAACTTGTCCATATACAAAACATTATTAACCAATTATTTTGATAAATCATTTTTAGGCAGTAGTCTCTATACTGAGGAAGGAAAATTCTCTACCAGACTGGGGCACATATACATCAAATGCCATCCTGACTGGGAATTATAATGCAACTAAGGAAGTAGAATCAGAGCACTATGAGCAGATACGCGAGTTTATGGCTTCTGAAACAGACGCTTTCCTTGTATCTGCAACACTTCATCATTTTGGCATGGCTAATATGAAAGATACTCCAAAGAAAAATCTGATGCCTTCTGGTATGCAAAAGGCAAATAATGTGGAGAAGAGAATGTGGCTTCACAATCAAATATCTGAAATATTTGACACCTATGTTTCAGGCACCCTATCCGGCGTAACCAAGGCAAAAAAATCTGTTGAAGCTTTGTCGGTCCAAGATACCCATCCATGTAGAGCTTCAGGATGTTCCAGGACTTTCAAGTACTCCAAATGCAGGGTAAATCATGAAAATGAAAAACATGGTTTACACATTATGGATGATATCTCTGGCCAGGATTCTGAAAGTAAGGAAACCACTGACGACCATATCTTCAATTATGGTTGCATACACATATCTCTTGGTCTAATGTTACGAAATGCAGAAGATTCTGTAAAGGAAGGTGACGGTGAGCGTCTCTTGCGAGCATGGAAATTTTTTACATACATATTCCGTTTGAAAGGACACAACAAATATGCCCTTGCAGGACTTAGATTGATAGCATCAGTTGAGGGTCTTCTAACCCCCCGTCAGGCTCACAGGCTAACATGGAACAGATTTGCAGGGACAAAAAAAGGGAAAGGCAAGAGAATTTCAAGGGATCTTCGAGTAGAACAGCTAAACAAAATTTCAAAAGAGGAAATAAGAGCCTTAGGTTTCCCAAACATCAATGATGAAAGTGTCCAGAATGCCACAAGAGCTACAGCTGCCATTGAGGAAATGGTCACAAATTCCAAGGCTGACCTTGAAATTGAAGCAAGATCTGGGCATCACTGCAATAAAGAAGCCTTGAAAGCATTTAGCGTTATTTTTGATCAAGTACATAACAAGGCTAAAGTTTTCAGCTTTGAGCCAGACAGGCACTATCATGCATTTCCAGATTTATCACGTGAAATATATCACGACCTATCACCACAACAGCTGTACAAGTGGATTCAAATGCACAGAAACCGTTGGCATAAACAACATCGGCATCTGTACAGTAACTAAATTACCAAATCAATGGAGGTAATCATATAAATTTCAGCTGTTTATGAACTTGGCTCAGCAATATTATGAATATTGTATTGTATTGATATATGTATACACTGTAATATACTGTATACTGTTTAATTAGAAACAGTATAATGGTGTTAGTATTGTGGTAGTTCAGTAAGCAATCATGGGACCAAGGCCGGATTTTGGTGGAAATGCTGAGGGAGGTAGAAAACTGTTTAGGGGAGGTGCAGCAATCCTAGCTCTTGAAATGTTAGGGGTTAGAATGTACCCCTGTCCCCATAAAGTAAACTACGTGACATATGCACGTATTTGTGAATGATAACTTTACATACAACTCATCCAATTTTTCCATTAAATACATTACTACAAAGTTTATTTCGAAAAATGTTCTTTAATACAAACACGTCGAATTTTAACTTCTGTTACCATTCCTAAGGGGAGGTGCGCACCTCCCCCCCCCCCTCCCCTCAAAATCCGTCCTCTTCCTGCAAGTTAAAACTTTGGGCAGTAGGGATCAGTGGTGTCAAGTAACGAAGTAAATGTACTTTGTTACTGCGCTTGAGTATTTTTGAGAAGTCAGCATGTAACAAAGTAAACTTTTTCTGGAGTACTTTTACTTGCAACGAAGTCGTTTTCAGAAGTAACGTTTTCGTTATTTTCATTTTGTGGCGAAGTATCTCCTAATTTTTCTGGTAGTTGCATCCCTACCAACGAAAGCTTGCTCAAAATACTTAAAGTAATAACCATATTATGACAGTTGTCTATATTATCTACCTCATAAGATATGTTTTCAAAAGCAAATAATGCAACCTTTACACTTGTACAACAAGATCTGTCATTTTCAGAAATTACTGAATAGTTCATGCTGCACACTGGTTAATATAGATATAATTATAATGTTTTTAGTTGGCAGATTCTTCACTATCATAACTATCTGCTACTTCAGAAAAGTAAAAGTCATCTCTTACCCAGTTAAAGTGCTGTTCTTCTGAAGATGCCTCATCGATGTCCTGGAATATATCATTGACAACATTTAAAATTTCACATGCCACTGTGTTGTCTAAAATGGGAAAATTCCCTGTTACATATTCAACACTGAACAGGTGTTCCAAATCATTCCCCAATTCATTGATGACACTGTCTTGAAGCATATTTTTCAGAAATGCTGTGCCAAATACTGCAGCATTTCCACCCTGTTGAATATCTTTTAATACATCGACAAATGTTTGTCTTTCTTCACTAGAGACACATCGTGTTAATGACTGTTCTTTTCTGTTATCACATGGATGAGCACTGGCATTTGTATTCTCAGTACCTCTATGCACATCTACAGGACACAATCCACATACACACTCTGAAGAACAGATATCACAACAGTTATGCATCAGCAATAGCAATGATTTTTTCTTCTTTTCTTTAAAGTATTTCAGGACTTCTAAACGCCGGCATTGCACACGGTTTTTGATAAAAGCTCTCATTTTTTCGTCACAGTGACGGAGGTGGTAATTTTTATAATACAATATTGCCAAAACATTACAGCCATTCCTTCCTCCTCTTCCGACAGCCTGAACATAGGACTCTAGATCCTGTGGGGCACCATAGTGGATAACTCTTTGAATATCTGGAATGTTGATCCCCATTCCCAATGCACTTGTTGCAATAACAATACGTAGGTTTCTATCAACTACAATATCAGACAGTACCTGCTTCTTTATTCTCTCTGGAGTTTTAGCATGGTACATAGCATAATATGTTGTACAACTATCAGGTAGTATATCTGAGAAGGTGTCATATATCTCCCCACATTCTTTGAATGAGGTACAAAATATGATTGTCTTAGGACATCCTTCCAAATTCTTTTTTAAATCTTCAATAATCCAGCCAAATGTTGCATCAAGTCCTTTCTCGTCTGCCTTTTCCACAACATACTTTATATTTTCTTTATCAGGAGAAAGATAAATAACGTTTGTGTTCACCATATGCAGCATCTGGATGATTTTTTTTCTTGTTTTTGCACTTGCCGTTGCTGTTAAACACATGATTGGTGCATTCACTAATGCATTGATATTACCAACACGTCCATAAGATACTCGAAAGGGAGCCTTGTTATTGTTGGTAGTTCCCCTAATTAATAAAACATATTTACTTTCAAGGATTTGACACTGTGCACTGAACATGTCAGGTGCACAACAGCAACATTAGTGTGCACAAAGTAGTGCACAAATGCTAAATTCTCTCTGAGTCACAAAGTTGTTTAATATTTTTGTCTACAATATACATACATGTTTTGCCTAAATCTGTTGCTCAGAATGTAGAAAATAGCCTTCTGGGGTTCAAATTTTCCCCAAGGACATGCCCCCCCCCCCCGCCAATGTGTATTTGGTCATTGGTGCAGTCATTTAATGACTAATAGTCAATAAAAATCCACACTGGCTGTGACATGTTTATATATTTTATATAAATAATACAGAAAAAATCTGAACATGTTTATACTCACCAGTTGACAACACAATGGGACTCGTCAATTACCACTCCGATTATACGGTCCTGTAAGTGGCGAATTGTAATGTAGTGCCTCTCCAATGTTTCAGGACTTGTGAATAGTACGTCGAATTTGTCGAACTCGTTTATATATTCCCTATCACGACATTCTAATTTCACAGCTCTCAATCCCAACTTTTCACACGAAGTTATCTGTTCATTTACCAACGCTTGCAGAGGAGCCACAACCAAAACCATTGGATTTGTTGGAAGCTTACGTCGATAGTTCGTTGTTCGTCCTTGTATCAATAATTCATTCGCGAGAGGAACGATTAGTTGGTATATCAAAGATTTCCCAATTCCTGTTGGTAGGGAAACAAATGTATCTCTACCCAATATAAAACTTTCTATCGCATCCTTCTGTTCTTTTTTCAACATTATACTCTCCGAAAGGAAAATATTTATCATAACCTGCTCCAAACATTTTTGAACATATTCAGACATTTTGAAATCGAGAAAAAAATATACATGACAATGTGGGCTCAAGTATCTGTCAGCGCCCACACGCATAAACAAAGCCGTGCGCATCAAAACCTGTAAAACATGAATAAAACTGGTTTGTCTCGCCCAAGATCTTGGGCGACGGCGACTTCAAAGATAGTACACAATTTCGGCAGAGTATCCTTTCTCTCCGCCGTGAAAAGGATACTCTGCTAGCAGGGTAACTGATATTGAGCGCGCAGTAACCTTAACCCATCGAGTCGCATTGCGCCCTAATTTATTATTTTACTCTTTCTAACGCCAGACAATTTCACTCATTAAGGGGAAAGCACTGGTGCTTAATGGGTTAACTGTCCTATCTGCCTATGTGTGTTGTTAACACATTGAGTCGCATTGTGCCCTAATTTATTATTTTACTCTGTCTAATGCCAGATGATTTCACTCATTAAGAGGAGAGCACTGGTGCTTAATGAGTTAACTGGCCTATCTGCCCATGTGTGTTGTTAACACATTGAGTCGCATTGTGCCCTAATTTATTATTTTACTCTGTCTCACACCAGATGATTTTACTCGTCAAGGTAAGGGCGCTGGTGCTTAATGGGTTAACTGGCCTATTTGCCCATGTTTATAGTTAACCCATTGAGTCGCATTGCGGCCTACTTTATTTTTTTACTCTGTCTCAAGAGGAGAACACTGGTGCTTAATTAATGGAGTTAATATTGAAAATATAGATCAACCTTTGTCAAAACTCATGACTTGTGCAATCATCTTTGTAATAATTAAGATATTAAAATACCAAATATAATGCCTTATGGCTTATTTCAAATAGGGAGATGCTATGTCCATTGAAATTTAGTGGATTTGTTGTACATCAAATAAATGCTAGCCATAAACATATTCAAATAAATCAAAGAGAATGTAGAATTGCACTTTACATAAAATTGCCTAGTTATTGTACATTAATGCAAAAAAAAAATGCATGAGATTGTGTAATATTTGAAATGGAAATATATCGTTTCAATTTTATTTCTATGGTTTGTACTATGATATACATGGGCTCTATACACTCTTTGGGAACCCGCAGGGCTGTTGGCAGAGCATTTCCATGATCTGCAACTTCAGTCCTAAACACGATGTGTGGGTGCGAAGATGTTGTGTAGGAACAGAACTGTACAGATTAGAAATATGATTACTGATATTCCCCAAAGGAAAACTATTAATATATAGAAGAGGAAAGAAAATGGCAATAAATAGTCCAAAGTATCTGTTGTACATTTGAAATTTAAAAATGGTAGGCTTATTAAGGATGAGATACAGAGAAAAACAGTAATGCAGAACTACATTCTCTTAAATTGTCAAACTTAAACGCTACCAATCTTGGTATCGTTTCAAACTTGAATAACGAAAAGTCTAAAAATATAACAACTATAAGAACAGATCAGCTATGTCCAGTTCATGGCTCGAAATAACGTTTCCAAGGTTCCCGATCATGGTGATCAGCAGTCGTGATTTTCTGCTGATCAAATGAAAATCCGACCAATCAGTATAGGATACCTTGTGTTTATATGTTCTGTGATAATGCCGTAGTATTGCATGGTGTTCGTTAACGACATAAACCGTGTTTTTGAGACAATGGTCCTTGCCCATCAAGATGATCGCCAACCTTGCTTCTCTACCGATCAAAAGCAATTTCCTGCCGATCGCTGATCGGCCGTTATTTCGTGTCCTGCCAGTTATAAAATTAAATGATGAAGGAAAGCTGTCATTTTAGGAAAGTGTTGTTTTGGGGTGTGTAAACTCATGAGGTTACATGTTTCTGGTGAATCTTTGCTTGCTGCAGCAAAAATGTATTAATCGTTTGTGATATAATTCACGAGATGTATATTTTAACCTGTGTGTTGCCAAATTTCTTAAATATGGAATTTGTTTTGTCTGACCAAGATATAATGAATACCACTAGTGACATGAGTATGTCCAATTAATATTTAACTAGAAATAAATTCATGCAT